TCAAAAACAGAATTAAAGAAGGGGAGGGAAAGGGAGAGAGAGAAAAAAATCTACACAAATGAAGAAAAACCAAAAGAAGAGTATGGGTCTCTCCCAGACCCCTGGGAGGGCAGACACTGAGAAAACTGACTTCGGAATGCAAACAATGAAGAGCCCCCAGAATGAAGGGTCTCAAACTACAAACATTGATATCAAGACAATAATGGAGAGACTAAAAAGAATTGAGGAGATACAAGAAGAAACTAGGAAGGAGCTGATATCTGAGATAACAGTAATCAAGACTACTGCGAATGAAATAAATAACAAACTGATAAGCATGGAAAGCAGAATTACCCAAGCAGAAGAAAGAATCTCAGAGCTTGAGGACCAAAATATAGAACTAACCCAAACTCTTAAAAATACAGAAAACAAGCTCAAAAAGACAGAACAAAACCTTCAAGAGATGAGCGATTACATCAAGAGACCAAACTTAAGAGTAATTGGCATTCCTGAGACAGAAAGAGAGACAGCGACCACACTGGAACAAACTTTCCATGAGATCATTCAAGAAAACATCTCTTATCTAATCAGCAATGCAAAAATTCAAACACAAGAGATTCAGAGAACCCCTCCAAGACAACAAATGAGAAGACCAACTCCTACACACATAATAATTCACGTAAACAAAGCATACATAAAAGAAAAAATCCTAAAGGCAGCAAGAGAAAAAGACCAGGTCACCTACCAGGGAAGACAAATCAGAATAGCAGCAGATTTATCTACAGAAACCCTGAAGGCTAGGAGAGCTTGGAGCCCTATCTTCAAAGTTCCAAAAGACAAACAATTTCAACCAAGAATAACCTACCCAGCCAAGCTAAGCTTCATCAGCAAGGGAGAATTAGAATCTTTCCCAGATATCCAATCCCTAAGAACTTATGCTGCCACCAAACCACCTCTACATGAAACACTTAAGAAAGTACTAAACACAGAAGAAAAGGAAAAAAAGAACAACCTTCTTCACAAGAGTACAAGGGAAAGAATAAAATATACATGAACCAACCCCAAAACCAAAAGAAAGACAAAAAAAAAAACTCAAGTGGAAGAATAACAACTCTATAAGAACTTTATGATAGGGATGAACTCTCACATTTCAATAATTAGCCTGAACATAAATGGACTAAATGCACCACTGAAAAGACATAGAATGGCAAAATGGATAAAATATCACCAGACAACAATATGCTGCCTACAAGAGACCCATGTCACTAGAAAGGACATACACAGACTCAAAGTAAGAGGATGGGAAACAAATTTTCAGGTGAATGGAATACAAAAGAAAGGAGGAGTCGCGATCCTAATTTCAGACAAAATACCATTTAAGCTATCAAAAATTAAAAAAGATACAGAGGGCCACTACATAATGATAAAAGGTTCACTCCATCAACAAGAAATATCTATCCTAAACATATATGCAACCAACATAGGTGCACCAACTTTCATAAGCAGCTTCTAGGAAAACTAAAGAAAGATATAGACTCTAACACCATCATAACTGGGGACTTTAATACCCCACTCACAACCCTAGACAGATCATCAGGACAAAAAATCAACAAGGAGATCCGGAACTTCAATGTGACTCTGGATCAAATGGACTTAATTGATACCTACAGAACACTCCATCGAAAGACCACAGAATACACATTCTACTCATCACCGCGTGGAACGTATTCTAAGATTGACCACATAATTGGCCATAAATCAAGTATAAACAAATTTAAAAGGACAGAATTTCTACCATGCACTTATCAGACAACAGTGGAATAAAAATAAACGTTAATACCACCAAGGTCCCCCCAACACCCACAAAGACATGGACACTAAACAGCATGATGCTAAACAACTCCTGGGTCAATGATGACACCAAAACAGAGATCAAAAGATACCTGGAAATAAATGAAAATGAAGAAACGTCTTACCAAAATCTCTGGGATGCCTTAAAAGCTGTAGTAAGAGGGGAATTTATATCCCTACAAACACACATGAAGAAAATGGAAGGCTCACAAATTAACAGACTAACAAGCCACCTAAGTAAGCTGGAAAAGCAAGACCACAAAAACCGTAATTTCAGCAGAAGAATGCAGATCACCAAAATAAAAGCCCAAATCCTGGACATAGAAGACAAAAAGATAATACAAAAAATCAATGAAACAAAAAGCTGGTTCTTCAAAAGGATAAACAAGATCAATGGTCCCCTACCTAGACTGACCAAGAAAAAAAGAGAAAAACCGAAATAAGGACACTCAAAAACCCAAAAGATGAAGTCATATCTGACCCTGAAGAAATGCAAAAGATGATTAGAGACTACTATGTACACTTGTATGGAAACAAACTTGAAAACCTTAAAGAAATGGAGGACTTTCTGACATCACACAACCTACCTAGGTTGGTACAAGAAGAAATTGAGACCCTAAATAGACCAATAATAACCAAAGATATTGACTACATAATAAGAAAACTACCTACAAAAAACAAAAACAAAAAAAAACCCTGGTCCAGATGGCTTTCCAGCAGAATTCTACAAGACTTTTAAAGAGGAGCTGATACCAATGCTACTGAAGGTATTCCAGGTGATTGAAAAAGATGGAACTCTCCCCAAATCATTTTACGAAGCCAACATCACATTGATACCCAAGCCAGATAAAGATCCATCAAAGAAATAGAACTACAGGCCAATATCTTTGATGAATATCTATGCTTAAATTCTCAATAAGATCCTAGCAAACCGGATTCAACTATACATCTCAAAAATCATCCATCATGACCACGTAGGCTTCATTCCTGGGATGCAAGGCTGGTTCAACATTCGTAAAACCATAAAGGTAATTAAATACATCAACAGATGTCAAAACAAAAAACACATGATTATATCATTACATGCAGAAAAAGCTTTTGATAAAATCCAGCACCCCTTCTTGATAAAAACGCTCGAACATCTAGGCATATGAGGAACATACTTCAAAATAATAAAAGTCATCTATGAGAAACCCACAGCCAGCATACTCCTAAATAGACAAAAATTAGAACCATTTCCCCTGAAAACTGGAACAAGACAAGAATAACCACTCTCACACCTCCTGTTCAAAATAGTATTGGAAGTCCTGGCTCAAGCCATCAGATAAGAGAAGGCAATCAGGGGTATCCAAATAGGAAAAGAGGAAATCAAGTTATCTCTCTTTGCAGACAATAGGATTGTGTACCGTGAAAACCAAAGAGAATCTGTCAAAAACCTCATTACACTGATAAAGGACTTTGACAAAGTCTCAGGATACAAAATAAATGTGCAGAAGGCAATCGCATTTCTTTACACCAATAATAAATAAACAGAAACCCAAATATAAAACACAATTCCATTCACAATAGATACAAAAAAATGAAATACCTTGGCATGTTCCTAACCAGAGATGTGAAAGACCTTTACAATGAAAACTACAGAGCACTGCTCAAAGAAATCAAAGATGACACAAACAAATGGAAAAATATCCCATGCTCATGGATTGGAAGAATCAACATTGTGAAGATGTCCATCTTACCTAAGGCAATCTACGTATTCAATGCAATCCCATCAAATTACCAGCAACATTCTTCTCAGACCTAGAAATATCATATGGAAACACAAACGTCCAAGAATAGCCAGAACAATCCTCAGCAAAAAAAAAAAAAAAAAAAAAAGAACAAAGCCGCTGGTATCACATTACCAGACTTCAAACTTTACTATAAAGCTACAATCATCAAAACAGCTTGGTATTGGTATAGGAACATGCATATAGATCAATGGAATAGAATTGAGATTCCAGA